CAGCAAGCCCACAGACTGCCAGCCAGCAACAGTAATTAAGGTAAGAGGAGCCAACTTGGCTTAGGTATCAGCGAGCTATGTTGTGTTGCTATATTGTGAATAGGAACCAGAGTGTTGGAGAGACCACCCTCCAGGCCCCATTAGACTCTAGCCTCTGCTAAAAATCCCCTCCATGGCCCATTAGCCCTCAATTGTAGTTTCTACTGGGGCCTGGAGGCGACTGTTTCCAGCAGGGGATATCTAATGGACGCTGAGATGGCCTCTGTTAGAAAGACCCCCTTCCAAGCCTTTTAGACTCCATTGTAGTCTCTAATGGGGCCTCGAAGGGCTTATTGCCCTTTTGTTCCTTGTGTCTAAAGATTGTGTAGGGTGTGGCTGGAGGCGGTGCATGGAGGCGGGACAAGGGTGGCGCTTGCTGCAGAGTATGGGTGGGGCCTGTAAGGGGGCCCTTGATTTATTTTGCCTGGGGGCCCTCAGTCCGCCCCTGCCCCAGACTGATCTCACTAGTCTTGTACAGCTAGGGGACCGGTTAAGCCCCACAGAGAAGGTACAGGCAAGACAGCTTCTGTGGGAGAAGCAGGCACCGTTCTCCCAAGAACCCGGCTACACTACCCTAGCTGTACACAAGGTAGAGACCCCCGGACAGAGTCCCCTATGACAGCCCCCCTATCGTATCCCTGAAGCAGTCCGGGAAGGAATGCGGAAGGAGATACAGGAGATGACTCGGCTTGGAGTCATCGAACACTCAGACAGCCCTTGGGCCTCGCCTGTAGTCCTGGTGCCTAAGAAAGATGGGACCACCCGGTTCTGTGTGGACTACAGGCGTCTCAACGAACGGACCACCACTGACGCCTACCCGATGCCCCGGGTAGACAAGTTATTAGACCGCCATTGACCTGTGTAAAGGTTATTGGCAGATCCCCCTGGCCAAGGATGCTATCCCTAAGTCGGCATTCGTCACCCCATTTGGTCTGTACCAGTTTAAGGTCATGCCATTTGGGATGAAGAATGCTCTGGCTACCTTCCAGCGTATGGTGGATAGGCTTCTCGATGGCTTCCAGGAATTTGCATGTGCATACCTGGATGACATTGCGGTCTACAGTGAGTCCTGGGAAGAACACCTGGTACACGTAGGGATGGTTCTGGACAAGATTCCGGCCGCTGGCCTGACCTTGAAGCCAGACAAGTGCCATCTAGACATGGCAGAAGTCACAGGGTAGGATATGGGAGCCAGAGACCAGAGCCAGCCAAGGTAGAAGCTGTAGCTAACTGGCCCACACCTATCACCAAGACCCAAGTGCTGGCCTTCCGTCCAGGTTATATACATGATGAATTTAGAAATTGATCATTTAGCTCTCCTATTGCAAACTGGTGAAAAGATGTCAAAGATATAAATTCAACATCCATACCACTCTATGTATATATATATATATATTAAAATACACTTAATCAAATATTTTATCGGTTACCAAGAAAATGTTATTTGGTTTGTGATGGTTAAAAGTACATATACCTTGTGGTAAGGATCCTGCACATCTATTGATTGTTGAATCAATACATCATGCATATGATTATTAATTCATATTCTGATTGTAACATACCCCCACTTCAACCAGTAATAGTTACAACAGATTCTGATATCTATTGTTATGGAAGTGTTAAAACCACTTATACAAAGGGAGAGTTAAAATATAAATACCTTCAATATTGTATCTGAGTGCTTTCTTTACTCACTTTTAGAAATAATAATAAATATTCAAATCATCTTACGTTACACCCAACAGCCGCTGCTAAATATACTTAAACAATTAAGATTCTCATTGTTAAGCATCCAATCTCACGAACGTAACTTTCCACAATGGCTGTCAGATCTTGGTAAAAAAAAAAAAAAATGTTTTCTAAGACAATATTTGGGGGTTTCTGGTATTGTAAGCCACTAATAACTGTAGTTATTATATTTACTAATTATATCTTAGGGAATAAGTTGTCTTCTCCCTAACAGGTCAAAGAAAGATAATTAACGTCATATTTCCAATTAGCAACTATTCTAAATATATTGATAGATTTTGAATAAGGGAGTATTTTTAACATTTAAAGAGAATGTAATTTTACATACCATTGTGAACAAAGACGGTAAATACTTTGCTGCTTCAAATTATCCTTATATCTCTAAATCATATACAAGGGTGTTTATCTTTAATACAAAACACTAGAAAGATTAAATATGTTACTATTTCATCTATCATTATTATACAAAGTATAACAAATGTAAAGATTTTTCCACAGATTTTTGCCTGTTAACATTTTTAGCACAACAGCACCTGATGTCAGTGAGATGTCTATCACTGAGATGTTACAAAGATTCCAATACAGCAAAAAGAGGCGTTCTTGAGAATCCACTTCGATTGCTGTATCAACATAACATTTACTATAACGGGATCCATGTCACTTAAGACAATGTCTTGGAAATGCTGTCAATTTATTGATTCCGTAAAAGAATATCGGAGGGTATCCAATCTATACACATCATAAACGGTGTAAAAATGTTTCATGGAAAAAACAAAATAAAAAACAAACAAAGACAAAGACAAATACCAACACCATCACCACGGTGATAACAGATGATGCTGATTCAACCAATTCTAGCCAAATATTTGGAAAGCTGGACTCTACAACCAATACTAAACAACAAATACCCGGGTATTCTACAAACACAACCTCCAGCAATGTATCTAAGGCATGTAAACTTCTACAGGCCTTTAAAGACTTTGGATTACAAATACAATTACTACTTTTAAATTTTGGATTACAATTCGGATCCATCCAAGAATATCTTACTATGGAACCTGGTGTTCTTTTCAATTCTTTCCCAGACAAAAGCTTTGCTCATTTTAATCAACCACCTTTACAGGCAAAGATCACAATATTTTACTGTTACAACAATGAATCGAAGATGCTGGAAGCACAAAAAAAACCTAAAGACTGTTGGAGAACTTTGGTTCACTAATTTAAGGAAGAAATGCGCTATAATGCCCACAGTTTAATGGAGAGGGTGTTATGGGCAAATGCAAATATTACAAGTTTTAAAATGAAATGTTGTATTTCTTAAACTGTGTACTTTGTCTTTAAGAGATATTGCAAACTGACAAGGTGTTAGAAATGGAACATATTGTTTTTCATAACTGTTTCTTTAAGCAATAACCTCAGTGCATAATATGTTTGCGCCATTTTGTCCCAGACGAATTACAATAACAATAATGCATAAACAAGCTTCAAGGCTATGCTACGATTCTTGCAGTACACAATATACTGTGGTAGCGCCAAGTTAATGGAACTTCCCCAAATCTGGGAATCTCCCACGATTGCGCACTTACGACTTAGTATAAACAACAGATAACCTATTCAGACTTTAAGATGTCATCTTGAACTAAGTCAGGAAAATTTCCATGACGTATGCACCCTTCTGTTATGGCCTTTGTAACGGACCGTTTTGCACAAAAGGGGTAAAAACCGCTTAGACGATAATCCCCTTTCAGAGACAGGCACAGCTACTGTAGAATCACCAAAACTCACAAATTGAATACAAATGAATGCACCAAACACCCGAATTGCATACAAGGGAATGCTCCAAACACCCGAACTGCATACAAGGGAATGCTCCAAACACCCGAACTGCATACAAGGGAATGCTCCAAACACTCGAACTGCATACAATAAGTGAATGCTTCAAACTCCCGAACGGCATCCAATATAGCACTCCAAACAGACGAACAGGAACCATACGAATAGCTGCTACCAGACGAATAGGAAAAGCATCCAAGCGGCTTACACTCCTAGCAATCAGTCTCTATCAGCATACAGTAAATCCCCCCAAAGACGAGACAGAGCTCCATGTTGAGGGTCAAGCAGTGGTCTGTTTAATGAGGGCTACCTGCCCAGTATTTATGCAGGTCTCCCACCTGGTGGACACTCCCCTAGGGGACCAAATGGGAAACTGTGACAAAAGACAGACATGTACCAATTACAGACATACAGAAGTAAAACATCCCCACAATGCATCCTGGCTTCCTCCCCTCTGCCCTGGAGAAGTAATTCAATTATCTCCCAGGACAAAGGCAAAACTCCATTACACCTGTGGGGACACAAAGACAGACTATCACTTTAAAATACATAATGGGACAAATGGTACAGTAAATATATACATGTAACATATCCCCAGATAGCTCAGGTCTGAGTGCACATTATTAGGTGAATGGCACTCAGACCACATGAATACAGTTTAATTACCATGGAGCCAAAGTCTTTAATTCCACGAACAGGCTCCATGGCATAGCTATCTGGGTTAAAACATTCCCCCAACACAAAATACCGAATTTACATGCATTTGTTAAATCCGTACGAATTAGAACCAGGGGTTGGAGGTTCAGCGGTGCCTGCACGTAAAAATGTCCGGGTTTGATGCAGGAAAGCCGGGCAGAAAAGAGCTCCAGAACACCGCCATCGTGTGGCGGCTAAGTGTAACCGCGACCACCCAGTAACAGTCAATTAAGCTGCGGTTAACCGCAGCTACTGGGTGGTCAATTGCCGGCACACGCTCGTTAAGCCGCGGTTAACCGCGGCTTCAGGGAGGTAAATGGAGGGCGCACTCCAGCTTCTGGGTGGCCAATTAACGGCGCCGGCCGGCTTCCCACGGCTCTGGGGAGGCTGAAAAGAAACTGTTTGTTCGGTAGATAGAATCTATCGAACGGCTGTGCAGAAAGGGAGAAATAAATCCTTCGGCACAGTAAAATTAACCCTTTAGCTGCCGGTCCATAATCCAAAGGCAGCAGGTGGGCAACCAGGCTCCTCCAATGCAATGTGGCGAGATTGGTCTCGTCACAGCCTTGTATGGTTGCCAAATTAAGGGAGGTCCTAAAATGAATAAATGAATAAAGTAAATGAACTACGGCAACCCTAAAATGGAGACAGAGGTATAAATAGGTGTACTTTTAAATGTTAAGATACAGAGGAGAGACTTGGAGACAGACGCTGCTCCATCTTAAAATGACAGAGAGGCTGACATGATGACATGTTCAGAAGGGTATGTTAACCTATTAATGATATTTGCAAGCATGTAATTTAATCTTATAAACTCTGCTATAATGGATTTTATATTTTTATATAATAAATATCCAAAAGACAAAACGATTGCTTCCAAGACAATCCTTATTTTATATTGTATTCTCAATTATTTATATATGTTAAATAGAGGATCTCTTACTAACTATATAAAATTATGGCTAAGATATCTGTATGGTCAGTCCTACTAAGTTCTATGCTTTAAGTCATTATAGTGGTATTGCTAAACCCCTGACTGACCTGACTAAAAAGAACTTACCTAAGCAGGTCCTGTGGTCTCCAGCTTGTGAAGCCGCGTTTCAGGCATTGAAGCAAGCTCTGGTGAATGCAGAAAAGAGGAGTACTGTATAATATCCCAAAAAGGACCAGAAAACAATGCTAAACACCCAAAAGTGTACCTCACATACACCAATATAATATGACAAAAAGGTAAATCTATACTACACCAACAAGTGATAGTATGGATTAAAGGGGTAGCAAATAAATATCATGAAACATACAACCTGTATATAATAAAACACAATTCTTCAGAGGATCTAAAATATAAAAAAAAAATCACATAATAGTGAAGTATGTACAAAAATAAATAGTTCAATCCCGAAGGTAGAGGACTTACAGGACCGTACTGTAGATCTGCGCTTGTCTCCCTTCCGTAGGGTATCTATATTTAGGATAGCGTTTCCTTTCAAGGTGAGCTTGCAGTGTAGACCAAAGGAATATATTCGGAACACCCAATCCTCAAAGGAAAAGAGGTATATAGAGCTGTATTGTAACAAGAATAAATTTATTGATACAAATTGCACTTACATCAAATGAAGATTAAATCAGCATGTCTCCACTAACAAGTGTGTGACGAGAGCAATCTCGCCACATTGCATTGGAGAAGCCTGGTTGCTCGCCTGCTGCCTTTGGACTATGGCCCCCTGTTAAAAGACTTTGTTTCACCTGCAGAAAAGCTTTATTCGAGCTGGAGTGTGCCGGCAATTAACCTCCCTGAAGCTGCGGTTAACCGCAGCTTAATTGACAATTACTGGGTGGTCGCGGTTACACCTAGCCGCCACACGATGGCGTTGTTATGGAAGCTCCCCGGGTAGCCAGCGCTTGTTCTACCCAGCGGCAGGACACCAAAAGCGGACACTTTTGTCTTACAAGCCCCGCTGAGGCTGGAAGTCTGCAAACCCGTTCGGGAACCGAACAACAGAGCATTCGGGACTTTTAGTGCTGCAATTGTATTCGGTGTGCAAGTACCCAGATTGCCTGCCATGGAGCCTGTTCGTGGAATTAAAGACTTTGGCTCCATGGCGATTAAACTGTATTCGTGTGGTCTGAGCGCCATTCGCTTAATAATGTGCGCTCAGACCTGAGCTATATGGGGATATGTTAAATGTATAGTTTTAATGTTATGTGTCTTACATGGTGTATTTTAACAGTAATGCTTGTTTTAGTATCCCCACGTGCATAATGGCGATTTGCCTTTGTCTTGGGAGATAATTGAATTACTTCTCAATTATCTCCCAGGGCAGAGGGGAAGAAGCCAGGATGCATTGTGGGAATATATTTGTCTGCTTGTCTGTCCCTTGTCACAGTCTCCCATTTGGTCCCCTAGGGGAGTGTCCACCAGGTGGGAGACCTGCATAAATACTGGGCAGGTAGCCCTCATTAAGCAGACCACTGCTTGACCCTCAACACGGAGCCTTGTCTCGTCTTTGGGGGGATTTACTGAATGCTGATAGGACTGATTGCTAGGAGTGTAAGCCGCTTGGATGCTTTTCCTATTCGTCTGCTAGCAGCAATTCGTATGGTTCCTGTTCATCTGTTTGGAGTGCTATATTGGATGCCGTTCGGGAGTTTGGAGCATTCACTTATTGGCGGTTCGTGTGTTTGGTGTTCTGCAGTAGCTGTGCCTGCATCTCTGGAAAGGGGGCCGATCACCTAAACGGTTTTTACCCCTTTTGTGCAAAGCGGTCCGTTACAACTGGTGGCAAGTGGCGGGATCGTTCCCACAGACAACAGGACAGCTACAGGAGACATCATTCCATGGAATTTACAATTTGAGGGCAACGCATGTCTGAGTACAGCGACCCTGACAGCTCCAGGATGGAACCAGCAGTGGCGTACAGCTACTCTATGAAAGAGTTTGACAATATGATGTGATTGCGGCTGAAGTACTATGGACCCAATCCACCAGAGAAATCGGTGCAGCATATAAGGAACGTTCAAGAATCTGCAATACCGGGCAGAAAGGGAAGGTCAGCTGGCACGTTGGGAGGAACTCCAGCGGCAGGTACTGCAGGGAATTGGGAGCCCACTCTCCATTCCCCAGTGGCAGTGTGATATGCCGGGAATTGGGAGCCCAGTCTCCATTCCCCAGCGGGAGATATTGCAGGGAATTGGGAGCCCAGTCTCCATTCCCCAGCGGGAGATATTGAAGGGAATTGGGAGCCCAAGCTCCATTCCCAAGTGGGAGATATTGCAGGGAATTGGGAGCCTGAGCTCCATTCCCCAGCGGCAGGCTGAGTTACAGGGGTCAGAGATAGTTGCTCCTGTCCCCCAGCAGCAGAGTGAATTGCAGGGAATTGGGAGCCTGAGCTCCATTCCCCAGCGGCAGGCTGAGTTCTTGGGAATTGGGAGCCCAGTCTCCATTACTTGGAGTTCTTGGGAATTGGGAGCCCAAGCTCCATTCCCAAGTGGGAGATATTGCAGGGAATTGGGAGCCTGAGCTCCATTCCCCAGCGGCAGGCTGAGTTACAGGGGACAGAGATAGTTGCTCCTGTCCCCCAGCAGCAGAGTGAATTGCAGGGAATTGGGAGCCCAGTCTCCATTCCCCAGCGGCAGTATGATTTCTTGGGAATTGGGAGCCCAGTCTCCATTCCCCAGCGGCAGAGTGTCCTACCGGGAATAGAGAGCCCAGTCTCCTTTCCCCAGCAGCAGGACTCTGTATTGGGAGCAGAGACAGTCGGTCTCCCTCCCCCGCGGCTGGAAGTATGTATGGGAGAGGAGTGTGTTACCCCCTGTCCCCAGCGGCAGCTTAATGTACCAGGGGGAGACAGTAATATTTTATTTTATTTCGTTTTGTAAAATGCTTCCAAAATTAAACAGAATAACAAAATAAATAACAAAATAACAATAATAAACAATCAACTGAAATAATACCCAATTCAAACATAATACCAAATGAAACATAAATACCCCAAAATTAAACATAAATACCGAAATAAAAACTCAGGAAAGGGCACTAACAGGGGAGTAAACTTATACCAAATTAAATAACTGGGAATAACAGGGAGAGGGATTAACAGAAAAGGGGGGGGGCTGAAATGCTCCTGAAGGAGCTCTTACATAACAAGGGGGGGACAAGGGGGGACCCAATTGACCTTGAGTCCACAGCCAGCTAAACACAAACATAAACCAAGCGTGAAATAAAATACACACATAAACATAAACAAACCCATTACCCACATGGAGTCCTTTTCTCAGTTCATAAAACCCACCAACCACATGGAGTCCATCCCTCCGTCCATCAACACCAACCCACCACCTACACTTTAAACCCAAACTTTAAACCCAAACCCACCACCCAAATGGAGTCCATTTTCAATTCATAAAACCCACCACCCTCATGGAGTCTATCCCTCCGTCCATCCCCCAAACCCACCACCCAAATGGAGTCCTTTTCTCAGTTCATCACATCCAAACCCACCACCCACATGAAATCAAAATTTTGTCCATAGACCCACCACCCACATGAAATCCAGTTTGTACACCACCCTCAAGGAGTCCATCCCTCCGTCCATAAAGAAACCCAGTGTTTTTTTTTTTTTCCTTTCCCCACCCAAAGTAAATTTTTCAATTTGTCCATACACCAGAAACCCACCCTAACCCAAACAATACCAAAAATAACCTGTGCATAACCATAACCTAACTACACTGCACTACCTAGACGCAGAGGAAGGTACTCGTCTGCTAAAGGTGGCAGCCTTCCATGAAAAGAAAAACCATTTCAAAATCTACAGGGGAAAGGTGAAGACAGATTTGGAATTCCCTTCACCAAGACAAGGGCGCCCATGGAGCGGTTCAAGGCGGGTGGACCTTGAGATTTCGCCACAAACGCTGCCAAATGGTGGGATCCATAGAGGCCCTTTCGGTGGTATAGATCCCACGAACCGCCCTCAGAATGTCTGCTACCACCACCTGACAGGAAAGGTCTTTACGTTGAAGGGAAACCTGACACCTTGCCATCCAAGTGAAATACTTAACCACTGAACTGACTACATAAAGAGTGCCCAAATCAAAAGCCCTCCCCCTTGAGTTGGACGTCCCGTACGCCCACTCCGCATAAGTCCAGCGGGATAAGCAGGGGATGCCTAAGGCGGCTGAGACCTCTTTGTAGACCTGTACGTTAAAGGGGCACTCGAGGAGGAAGTGGTCCATGGACTCCACTTCCCCGGAACATTCCACCCGAGGACAACCACGATCCGTTATGTTCCTGTACTTCAAGTTCCCTCGAACGTAAAGTCTACCGTGGAAGGAGAGAAACGCCACGTCTCGGTATTTCTCCGGAAGGCGCCTGGAGTTGATGTTTTTCAACCCCGAGGCGAGAGTACTTGGCGGGCAGTCCTTCAAAGCAAGCTGAATGCCAAAGTGGGTGGCCAGGACCCTCCCGTCGAGAAGCTTCTTGGGAGTGTCCCGAACCTCCTCCACCGTGACGTTCCACCTGCGCAGAATTCCCACTCCCTCGATGACCGAAGACGGAAGATAGCTAGAATGCCGAACTCTCATGCTCTTCACCCTCCCACCCTGAAACCAGTCCACCAGGAAAGGTGTGACCCACTCCCTGAATATACATACCCAGCCAGGCTGCTCATCCTTCAGGAGAGCCCCAAAGTTCCTTTTCAGGAAGTTGTTAGTTAAAAAGACGATGGGGTTGACCATGGCCAGACCCCCGTCCTTTCTGGCCAGGTAAGTGACCTCTCTTTTGATGAGGTTCAGCCTGTTCCCCCACAACATGCGGAAGAACAGCGCAAACATCCGAGCGTGGAGGGACCTGGGCAAAAGGAAGATGTTACTGACGTAGCCGAATATGGTCAGAACATAGGTTTTGATTAGGTTCACCCGTTCTCTGAACGTCAGTTTCCACCTGTGGCTCTCCTCCACCTTGCTAGAAGCTATGGCAAGCCGTTCGGTCCAGTTCCTGAGAGCCAGATCCCCTGGTCCGAACACCACCCCCAAGATCTTAATTTCAGGCTGGGCCCTCGGGAAACCGTCTGGAAGAGGGAACTGGTCCCCCTCCTTCCCGCACCAGAAAACTACGCTCTTGTCCCTGTTGACACGAGAGGCTGAAGCGGCAGAATACGCTAGGATTAAATCATCCACCTCCGTGGCCTCCCGAGTATTGGAGACCACTATGGAGATGTCATCAGCGTAGGCAACAACCCGTAAAGGCCTCTCCGGAGCCCTGGCCACTCCCTGTAACGTGCCTGCCTCGACCCTTCGGATGAAGGGATCGACTGCAAACACGTACAAGAGTGGGCTGAGAGGACAGCCTTGCCTGACCCCGGATCGGATCCTAAACGTCCTGCCCCTCCACCCGTTCACAAGAGCGAAGCTTTCGGCCCCTCTGTACAAGGTGATTATCCAATTGACGAATTTTCCCGGCAAGCCATACTTCCGCAAGACTGACCACAGATAACGGTGATCTACTCGATCAAAAGCTTTGGACTGATCAAGTGCCAGAAGGTATATCCCCCTTTCTCCGTCCCTGCACTTCTCGAGGGCTTCCCTGACTTCGAAAACGGCATCAAAGACAGTTCTGCCCTCGATTGAACAGTACTGGGAGGTGGATAGGACACGCCTCGCTAGGCCCTGTACTCGTTTCATCAAAATCTTTGCCAGGACCTTCCTGTCGACATTTAACAGGGATATAGGGCGCCAGTTCCCCACATCCGCTGTGTCGAGCACGTTCGGCTTGGACAGCAAGATCAGGGCAGAAGTCCTCATCGAGGGTGGCAATAATCCTTGAGCCAAGCTCTCATTAAACACCTCGGTCAGATGAGGGGCCAAGAGGTCGCAGAACTGTTGGTAAAACTCGGCCGTCAGACCATCAGGACCTGGCGACTTACACTTGTTCTGCTGTTGGATACTCTCTGTGACCTCTTCTATGGTGATCTCGCTGACCAACTCGTCAAAAGAGAGGTCGCTATGCTCAGGGAGCGTGAGCTCGCTCAAGAAGTCATCCACCCTTCTCCCGTGGGAGGTTCCCTCCTCGCTACATTGGGGGCTGCCCTTTCCGAGGAGCTCAATATAGTAGTCGCGGACCACCTTCAGAATCCCGCGAGGAGACTCCTCTAGGGTCCCGTCGGTGCCCCGCAGACTAGGGATGGACTTGGTACCTTCCTTCCGCTTGCAGCTAAGATAAGGATCGGGCGAGCGGTATGACCCATGATCCCTCTCTTTTACAAGGGAGGCGTACCTGTCATACTGATAACTCCTCATCAGGTTTTTAACTGCCGCAATGTCCTCGGGGTCACCTCCCTGCGAGATCAGGATGTCTAACCTCCCAAGCAAGCCCAGATACATCTTGTACCTGGAAGACTGCATGTTCCGGGCGAGATTGTGAAACAGCCGTTGAGTTCTGGCCTTCACCATCTCCCACCACTCAGACTTCGTTTGGCCTAAGTCGGCCAATGTCATCTGATCGTGAAAGAATTCCATGAAGGCTTGCTGAACCCTCTGTTCCACCAGGAGGTCTGAATTTAGCCGCCAGATCCCTCTACCCTTAGGTGGGGTACTATAGACGTTCAACTCGCAAGACAAAATGTGATGGTCGGAGAACTCCACCGGTGTAAGCACGGGTGCCGCCACCGGGAAATTCTCCTTAAAGAAAAACCTATCTATCCTACTCTGACAGCTACCTCTGTGATAAGTGTACCCACCCGTGGGATTGGGAGTGTGATGAAGGTACACATCGACCAATCCAGCCTGACTAACCATCTTATTTAAAAAATAGGAGTCATACCCCAGCCTCTGAGTGGCGTCTCTCCTGTCTTGAGGCCTAGTTATGGTGTTAAAGTCACCGCCAAACAGGATTTGCTGGGATGTATAAAGGTAAGGCTCTATCTCAATAAACAGGCGCTTCCTCTCCCACTTAGATTGGGGGCCATAGATATTAATTATCCTGAAAGGTTGCCTGCCCATTGAGACATCTAAAACCACACACCGTCCTTTTTGCAACTCAATAACCCTGTTGATGCTTGTGACGAAGTGCCCTTCGCCACTTGGTACTGGAGAGGCCTGCTTGCCAGCCTCCTCCCCTGTGACTATGACTCTTTGATGTATTTGCCTTTAAAGCCCCTATTCTACCTTCAGACAGACTATTTATCTAGGCTGCTTTATTTATCTTATGTTTTAGTCACCCTGTACCCATTATAGGTGCAGGGTGTGTGTAATGTAATTGTTTATAGTGTGTGTGTGTACTGTGAAATGTATTGCCTTCTCTCCTGTACTGCTGAGGTTTGCTACCAACAAGGTGGGTTTGGCTATGGAGCTTGTCTAGTGCCCTCTGTTGGTAGCAACAGCAATATGAACTACCTGAATTGCAAGACTGGTTCATTTGCATATTCGGGTAGATTTGCATATTGCTAATTCTGCAGGCAGGTGAGATATTTACTGTTAAATATTGTCTCCTCTCACCCCTTTAAAAATGTGCCATTGTGTTGTGATAAGTCACTGTGTGTTTCTTGATATGGTTTGACTGTTTGTGATTTTATTGAGGTTTCACAACAATGTTATTGTGGTGACTGTATTGGCTGGTCCCAAGGGAATAAAGGTTTTGACAGTTCTTCTTGATCCTTCTAAATGTAGCCTTGTCTCGTTATTGGAGGGAGCTGTTATAATCACACTGGGGATTACTATGCTCTGCATGCTCCCCTGAGCTTGAGTCACTTAGCTCTTTTAAGAGCTTGTTCCTGACAGGCTCTCCTTGGAGGAGGGGTCTTCACCACACAGTCCTGGATGCTGGAGGTTCGTACAGGGTGGAAGGAAGAGTTCTTTCCCACACAGTCCTGGAGGACAGAAGCTGATCCAGGGTGGAAGGAAGACGGCGAGACTCCAGTCAAGATACAGCGGTTGCGGAGTCTGCGGTGGTTGTGGTGTCTGCAGTGCTTGGAGTCCTCAGGAAGCGCTAGGAGCATCCGTCAACGGAGGGTACTCAGTCGGAGTACAAGGAGCTCCGTTACAATGCTAACATCAACGTCCTTAAATAGGATGGCGATTCCCCCATATCTCTCTGTGGCTAGAGAGAAGTAGGAGGGCCCCCATCTCCAGTCCCACTTTGCAGCGTGCAGGGCCGCGAGGGTTTCCAGCCGGGTCTCCTGTACCAAGATGACATTGTACGGAGCCCGGCTGAGGTGGTCGTAAACCAAAAAGCGGGCCCTGCTGGACTTAATGCTGTTTACATTCACCGTAGCCACAGAGAGTACAGGAAAAGTCGCCATAAGGGCATTAAGTATAAGGAGACTTTCCCTTCCTTCTGCGGTACCCCTCCTCCGTGTCGGAACCGAGGAACCTCTTCACTGAGACTCCGGGATACAGTGGCCCGTCGTCTCTCAGAAGCACCTCCTGTCCCACCTCAACCCCTGCCACCACCTCGGGGAGGTTCGCCATCTCCTCCTCGTACTCACAGTCGGCCCAGCTGGAGGACAGTGCCTCGTACCTGTTAGATACGGGCACCGGGGCCTCCTGCAAGCCCGAAGAGGAGGATGACGCCCGTGCCACACCACCCTTATAAGTGGCGTCTCCCCCTTTCGGGGGTTTCGCCGCAGGGGGTATGGCGATCTTCCAGGGGAGGGCAGCGTCGAGGTCCTGGAGGGGGGGGTTTCTTACCTTTCACCGTGCTCCACTCTAGGGACTGTGCATCTAAGGGATGTGCATCTGGGGATTTTTCAGTGGGGGTAACCTTCACCGTGGAGAATTTAGGAGGGGGGGGGGCTAGGGGGAGAGGGTCTAGGGGGAGCCATAATGGCTGTGGAGGTAGTGCGTTCTCTACGTACACTTTTCGTGAGGGGACGTGAACTTGTGGCCTTCCCAGGGTCCTGAGATGTTACAGAGACCGAGGGGAGGATGGGTTGTTGCTGGGGCAGGGAAACCCTTGTGCCAGAGATGGGCCTTGTAGATGACGATGCTACCTGAACCCCTAACCCAGCAGAGTCCATCTCCACCGGCTCCTGACTCCAGATGGACTCTACATTGTGCTGGGCTTCGGGGCAGGTGCGGTACGTGTGACCCATCTCTGAACACAGATGACACCGGATCTCCCTGCAGCTGTCCCGGAGGTGCCCCACAGCGCCGCACATAGTGTATTTGAGGACCGTACAGGCATTGCTGTAATGCCTGTACGATCCGCACTTGTGACATACCCTGGGCTGACCAGGGTAAAAACAGGATACCCGGTCAGCCCCGATGAAAAAACTATTAGGCATATGCTGTGTGACACCTCGAATCTCCCGCAGCAACACTGAAACAGTCCATCCGCCTGTCCAAATCCCATCCTCATCTAA